TCCGTCAATTTTCCTTCAATAAAATACAGCACTATACTTAGAATTAATTAATTGTACGTCTTGTTAGAGTATATATTCACACTGATCTTAAACAGATGATTAAAGATAAAAAGAAACGAAGAGTATACATTTTTATTATAATAAGCAACAGCATAGATTTTAGAGCAATATGATTTTCAAAACGTTTCAAAAAATATCAAAACATAATTCTGTTTTAATTCCTAGGGTTTTGCATTGACACACTTGACTTAACATAAAGTGCATCATTTAATAGCGAAATCATTAAGTCGCCTAATTACACAGATAACTAAAATATATCAGATTTTTACGTAACTTCGTTCTTTTTGTTGTAGAGTTGTTGTTGATGTTGTTGTTTTTATCATTGTTAATGTTGTTGTTTTTGTTGTTTTTCTCCGCTTTACTTAGAAGTACTGCCATTAAATGTTTTGCCATACTTGGAACGGACAAAACGTTCTCTATTGTGTTACAATTATTCATAATATACCACTTGATTGCCATTTTATTTGCGAATAATGACTGTTTCCTGAGACACGTTTTGTGAATTATATCACAGACAGACTTCTTTACGAGTTTTATCTGAATTATTGATAGGCTCTGTATTGCTTTTAATTTAATTATCATAAATTTGCATTCCAATATTTAAAACAAAAACGTTTGATTGAAAAAACACAGAAAATTCAATTCCTCCCATGACAAATGCTACAGCTCGAGGAAAATTATAACACTCACTTTTAGCTTGATAACATGGAAACATTAATCAACAGCTTTATATTCACTAGAATTATGATGAGTTCTTAATTTAAATATTTCTAATAATGACAAATGTATCCATCCGCATTGATCCAAATTGAAATCGTCAATCAGTTCTTTAGCTTAAACGTGACAAAAGAATGTCGATGATTTCTTTTGCTATAATTGTATTGGATCTACAGCGACATCGTCTTCCTACCAAACCACAACATCTTTTGTTTCCGTATATGGAGAGCCTTTCACACCGTCCAGGATCGTCATAGGAAGATTTTCCAGTGTCAAAACAACGTCTTCCGAATCGCTTACATAATTGCCCAGACACATGGTTGCCAATGTTAGAAAATAATAGAACCACAGCAAAAATTATGATGATGTTACGGTTAGCAAGAACAGCCATGTTTTCGCTGATGTAAATATTAAACAAAGGAATTGTAAGATAATAAATCAAAATGTTGTAAGATATCTTTTCAAAACTTTCAGTACTTAACAAGTCTTTTTTTGATTTTTGCAAACTCTAATATCAACACCGTATAAAATGTTTCAGACACGTCATCAATATATCCAATGTTTCTCAAGTTTACAAATGTAATTCCACGTATTCCGATAAAATGATAACTGGTGAGTTATATATGTTATACACTATAATAGTTATTCATATCCAAAATGTACCCGAATATAAATTATAAGTTTACATAGATAAATAGAAAATCATTTATCTATTCAAAAGATGTTATTTAGAGATGGTTTTATAAATGTAAATTACAAATTTGCAAAGGTGTAAAATAAACTTTCAACAAAGTGGTCTACGTACCGTGACGTTGACAAAAAATGCCGCAAGCGGTTGTTGGGAATTTAATACAATATTTTGTTGTAAATGAATTAACACAGTTTGGTGATGCATTATATATGATTAGGCAAAATATCAAGTAATCAGATATTAAGATGTTTCTTAATAAAATTGATATAGTTTCCCAAAAGATTTTTACATTACTTATATTTCAGGTAAGGAGAAATTACTCGTCAGCATTATTTATGTTTATTCAACAAACTGTTAAGGGCAAAAACAAGGTCAAGGTTGCTGTTTGAATTGTATTCTTAAAAAGCTTCACACATGAATACAATTTGTTTCTTTATGAAAAAGAGGCTATGATAAGTTTCATGTAAGCATCTTTATAGTCGTTCAATATTTGAGTGTTCAGTGTGACCTACACTTCCACAGGGTCGGTCTACACGACATTTACTTTAATGAAGACTTTGATAAATATATGGATGTATTTTACTATAAACGTGTACTTATAGAAATGAACACTTTGGACAAAACGCATGCTTTAACACAATGAAGAAAAATATGGAGAAAAAGCAACGGTGTTGTGAATATACAAGTTCAAGTCTGCTTTCTGGGGGTGTTTCTTGTATGATACTCATAACACTTATTGCTTAAATATTTTTTAATTAAATTCGATTGCACTTATTATTATTATTATCCCCGCCGATGGAATCGGGAGGAGGATATTGTTTTGGCGTTGTCCGTCCGTCCGTCCGTCCGAACTTCGTTTCCGCGCTAGTTCTCTGCAACAACTGGCTTGAATTCAATAGAACTTAATGGGAAATAATCAATATCAAAAGAAGATGCGCACATTGTCGGCTTGTTCCAGTCAGACCTTTTAACTCAGAGTTATGGCCCTTAAGTTATGTATTATGCATATAGAGCAAAAATCGATTCCGCGCTACTTCTCTGCAACTACTGCCTGGAACTCAACAAAACTTTATGGGAACCTTCAATACCAAGAGGACATACGCATATCGTCGCCTTGTTCGGATCAGACACTTTAACTCCGAGTTATGGCCCTTGATTAGTAATGCAGTATGCATATAGCACAGTAATCATTTCCGCGCTACTTCTCTGCAACTAGTGGTTTTAATTCAACGAAACTTTATGGGAACCTTCAATACCAAGAGGAGATGCTCATATCGTTGCCTTGTTTCGGTCAGACACTTCAACTCAGAGTTATGGTCCTTGATTAGTTATGTTTATGCATATAGAGCAATAATCGTTTCCGTGCTACTTCTCTGCAACTTCCGGCTGGAATTCAACGAAACTTTATGGAAACTTTCAAAAACAAGAGGAGATGCACATATCGTTGCCTTGTTCCGGTCAGACACTTAACTCAAGAGTTATGGTCAATGATTAAGTTTGCAGTATGCATATAGCTCAATAATCGTTTACGTGCTACTTCCCAGCAACTACTGGCTTGAATTTAACGAAAATTTATGGGAACCTTCAATATCAAGAGGAAATGCGCACATTGTCGCCTTGTTCCGGTCAGACACTTCAACTCAGAGTTATGACCCTTGATTAGTTATGCAGTATGCATATGGAGCAATAATCATTTCTTCGCTACGTCTCTGCAACTTCTGGCTGGAATTCAAAGAAACTTTATGAGAACCTTTAATACCAAGAAGAGATGCGCGTATCGTTGGCTTGTTCTGGTCAGACACCTTAACTCAAAGTTATGGCCCTTGATTAGTTATTATGCAGTATGCATATAGGGCCAACTTTATGGAACCTTCAATACGAATAGGGGATGAGCATATCATCGCCTTGTTCGGGTCAGGAACTAACAAAAAGTTATGGCCCTTGATTAGTTATGCAGTATGCATATAGAGCAATAATTGTTTCCACACTACTTCTCTGCAACTACTGGCTGGAATTCAATTAAACTTAATGGAAACCATTAATACCAAGATGAGATGTGCATAATATGTTGCCTTGTTCAGACCAGACCCTTCGTTACAGAGTTATGGCCCTTGATTACTTATTATGCAGTATGCATATAGAGCAATATTGCTTTTTCTTTGCAACTGCTGTATTGATTTCAACAAAACTTTATGGGAACCATAGATACAAAAAGGCAATTTACATCTCTTTGCCATGTTAAGATATTATTGTTATTGCCTTGAATATTTATTATGTCCAAAGAATATTATATTACTGTTTATACCATGATAAACATATAAATAACGCCTTATGTCTTCCGTTGTTGTATTAGTCATAACCAGTACTTGGCAGAGAGTACATATGTATAAATTCAATGAATTTGCTATTATTACTTAAATCCGTCGCGCTTTATCTTATGTCAGTATCATTTTGTGTTATTTTGTGTTTTATTTACTTCCTTTTTGTAAAGATGAAATAAATCATTCTATGAAAGAGTTTTCACTCTGCCTATGTACGTCTAACAAACTGTAACATACACATATCCTCAGTTTATAATAATATTTGACTTACTAGGGTTCGAAAGTAGTTCTACCACGTGGTTGAGATGTTAACAAAAACAGAGGGTAAAATTGTGTCTATTTAGGTAAATGAGTATTGAAAATAGGTCTTACAATCATAGTCAATTTAAATACTCTCACTAATGTACAATTTTAACAGGTATACATTTGTACTTTCGGATTCGACAACAACAACAACAACAACAACAACAATAATAATAATAATATGAATAATATGAATAATATGAATCGTGTACTGTTTACTTTTACATCTATAAATTTACTTAATTCAGATGTACTTGTACTCGATACATTGATATAAATTCAGTCAACTACTCCAATCATTGAATAACTATATGTTTACATGTTTAGTTTTTTAGCGTATATAGGTTAGACCACTCGTATTGTGTTCGTGGTCCTTATTCAAAGACGGACGGATGCGAATGCATGAGGGTCAATGTACGGATATATTTCGCCTCGCCCGAGGAACGAACGAACCATCGACCCTAGGATTACAAAGTCGGTGCTCTCCCTTTTGAGCTGAGCGGGTGGAGATATTCTGGTGCCTTTCCTCGATCTCTGCATATACTTCATAAAACAAACATAGTGTATTTACTTTAATATGATGTGATTTTAATGTGGAAAATATTATTTTACAAAACAATCATTAAAAAGATAAAATATTACTTTGGGAAAAAGAGGAACTTAAGCAGACGGGGAAATGTTCTAAATTATTTATCATGCTAAAAAATTCTAATAAATCAAAAGCCAAATGACAAAAACCAAATAAAATTTAAAAATTATCTTTTTAAATTAAAAATTTTATTTTTGAAAATTATAAAAAAATTTAAATAAAACCCTTAAATCAAAAACCGTGGGGTGATTTGTTAAAAAAATGAAAAAATTTTATTTCTTTAAACAAAAAATGAGATAGATAAAAAATAACAAAAATTAACTAATAAATGTTTTTGTATTTATATGACAATGTCCGAGTGAGACGTTTTTCAAGCACACAATCAGTTGTCAAAAATTACAACACATTATAAGCACTTAGTTCAAATAGCACAAACTAACAACAAATAAAAATAATAAAATCGGATGCTCAATGACATGGTATGATAGTGGTGTTATTGAACACGTTGATTCTATCAAATACTTACAGTATTATACAAAATTAATATTCCACTTTTAATGTTCACAGTAACAAAGAATAAAGAACGCCAAAAACAACAAAAATGAAAATGTTGCAGGCTCGATTTCATTGAACTGTAACAAAATACACACGTACGTGATTGTTGTCAATTAGCGTAGAAAAATAGTCAAATATGGCTTACTTTCACCATTTTTATGCCTTCTTTATAACGAAGTAAAAAAGGTTACTCGAGAATGTTATTATCGCATTAACATGGTTTCGTAAAGCATGCATATTCTCAACAATTATATAATGATTATCTATTTAAATAACACGCATTATATTTGTTAGAATAACTAAACAACTAGTAAAGATATCCCAATTATCACTGAAATCACTAGAAACACCAAAAAGAGCACTTTGTCCAAAAATGTCAATGAATGTTTCACTTTCAATTCTTTTAAAATGTCGGTAGCACCAATTTTGACATCGTTTATTTGGTTTTTTCTTCTACTTAGTCTATTGGTAGCTCCATTATAATCCGCTGAATCATAAAGGACCTCCGTGTCTATATCATCATTTTTCAACTTTGCTAATTCCATTTTATGATTATGTTCATGTTGAACTTTTGCCATGCACTGAAAATACATATTACAAATATGACTAAGACTTTAATGAATTAGTTGTCATGTTTATAAAATAACGGAGATAAATTTATTAAGACAGTGGATGGAATTTTTAAATGGAATAAGAAAGACGAAAACTATGAAAAATGAATATTCCTTTTCATATGGTCTGTTTATAAATAGGTACAAAAAGTACAATATTTATCCATCTACTACTTGTAGCATATGCTAAAGTTATCTTCAATATTTACTATTAAATGTATTGGTGTTCATTATAGCATTATATGTTTTTTCCAATTTATGAAGACTAACTAAAACCAATTAGAAAAAGAAAGGCTCTTCGATAACTGTCTTAACTGACAGTGACATGGGGATCCTAACAAAAAATAAATGTCAAGAAACACACAGAATAGTTCCAGGTTGAAATAATCATAGTAGACTATGTAGACAAGAAAAACCATATAAATTGAAACATATATTAAAATATAATTATTAAAATTGTTTATGATTTTAAATAGATAACAGAAATAAAACTTTTTATTTATGTTATATTTTCTTTTAAGAATATTCCTAAATACAAAATGTGCAATTAATAAAATACTCGAACTTACACATGTCTGTAGAAGAGGAGACAAATCACCATTGTTTGTATAAATCTGTGATGTAACGATGGAAACAATAATAGCACATATGGCATGAGCAATACATACTAGGTTTATTATTCCTGTAAATAGACAAAAACGTTGAATAAAAATAGTTCTATATTTCACCTTATATAAAATTGAAATATAAGTTATTAATTACGTTTTAATTGGACCTGAACTTCTCACCAAGACATACTTTAAAATCATCAAAAAATTGTTATAAATGCATGTAAAAAAGTTTTTATAAAATACTTAAAATTATGCCAAAAATTAATAAAAATTTTTAAAAAAAAAAATTAAAAATTTTTTTTTTTTTTTTTTTTTGTTTTTTTCCTTTTAAAAAAAAAGCCTTAAAATATATTTATACAAAATAAGGTAATATTGAGCAACAAGGAGAGTTTGAAGAATAAATGAAGTAAATAGGATGATGATTCATAATTTGACTAACCTGTAACAGGCAACGTGGAATATAATGGAAGATGAAGGCACTGTGCATATAGAGACAACATTTGTCCAAACAGCAACAATAGACCTGAAAATATGATGAAATGTACGCTTTGTTAACAATAACTTATTGATATTGAGAATATATTTGTTACATTTATAAGAAAATTAATATAGCACGATCATTTTCTTAAATTTAGATCTTTTTAAACCCGTGTATTGTTTTTTGTGGACGTTTTTAGATTTCAAAATAGAACTGGGGGCATATTTAAATAAAAACCTTTTTTGTATAGTTTGTTTTGCAAAAAAGATTTTCACCCTAGAAGAAATAACTGATTGTAAAAACTTTTTTTAAATTAGAATGATTTTAAAATCAATTTTAAATTTTGTTAAAAATGTTAGGATATCAATAATAAATTTCTTAAATTTCTTAAACAGAAAAGATTGCTCCATTAAAAGAGTACATTGTTATTTATTGTTGAGATAATAATCTTACCAAATGTTGATCTTGATGATGATTTACTTGGTAGTAGATATTGGAACGGTATAAGAATGGTTATCACGAGCATTGGGAAAATAAACATGTCAGTCAGATATTTGATGAGTGATGTATTTCTCTTTATTGTCACGACAATCTTCAGCTGAATGTACGACTCATCTGTTAAAACACAAAAATATTTATTAAGATTGGTGTAAATAACTGGTTATTATAATATGTGTGAATGTATGTTATATAGACCTGTCATTTAACATACAAAGTCATACAATTAATATTAAATTACTAGTATTATATTAACTCGCAAGATATAGACAGGTGTTTTTGTACGAAAATAAAATTTTTTTAAAAATAAAATATAGTTCTATATGAAGAACAATATCTTTTGACAGAAATTAAACAAACTTTTGTAGGGTGTATAAGAATTTTCCTTTTTACAGTAAAGGGAAATTTTTATTTTATATAAAATCTCTGTATACCCCCGGGTATTCTTGTTTATATTTTTAAACTTTTAATTTGCAAATAGTGTTATCTACCGCTTGAAAAATGTATTTTCCCAATTTTCCATGTAGCAATATTTTTCATACTTTTGATCATTTTTTTCTTGACCGTAATTGAATTAATTATAAATAACGTCATAAATAAGGTCCTCACCAGGACAACTAATCGTATGTTTCAAATTTGATTTCTGCAATGGGCTTTTCGTGCTCGGGTAAGCCACTGGTGACTGTCAAGGTTTATAATGTTTGGATCTGTGTCAGCGAGGACAGGAATATTCGCAGTGCTCGTGTTCACGTGCATGAATTCCATTAACATCTTCTGTAAGGTGAACAGAATGATTATTGAGATATGTATGTTACTGTTTAAAAACGAAACTCATTGAGGTATGGTGAATATAATTGTTTTTAATTATATGTCTTCATTTACATTTTATCTTTAAATGATATTCAAACGCGGTAAAATTATACATATATCGGTAACAACATTTTTGCAGTAGTTACGGGTAAATTTTTGTAATATAATTATTTTTGTTTGATAAACTGGCCGAGTTCAATTGATTTGAGCCGTGTCACGACAAAACCAACATAATGGGTTTGCAACCAGCATGGAACCAGACCAGCCTGCGCATCCGCGCAGTCTGATCAGGATCTATGCTGCTCGCTTACAAACCCTATGACAAGTAGAGAAACCGATAGCGAACAGCATGGATCCTAAACAGATTGCGCGGATGCGCAGGCTCGACTGGATCCATGCTGGTCGCAAACCCATTTTGTTGGTTTTGTCGTGACGCGGGTCATTTGTCTATAAGAACATGTATAAGTAAGACAAAAGTAACCCTAAAGGAGTAACCATTACAATAAGACCATTATAATTTCTTTTATCTTATATTTTGTAGCGACCGTTTGGTATAAAAGCAAAACAATATATTTTGAAACGAAATTAAACGAAGACCTAAGACACGATTTTATTGCTTAAATATTCCATATTTTATTGCACATATTTACATTTTCTGTCAGTAATATTGAGGCATAATGTGCCTCTAATGATATTAATCTAAACTTACCTTACTTGGATAAATCCACGAGCTAAATATCAACTCGCACGTGTGCTGATCACGCGGGAACCATTTTAAAATCCACGTGAAAAGTAAAGGGTTTGTGCATGAAAAGTTTTTAAAAATAAAGGGCCCCGTCCTGGGCTTGGACTTTTAACCAAAGCTGATTTAGGAAAGGTTTGGTGGGGGGAAAATCTAACCCAAAAAAAATTTAAGAAAACCTTTAAAATATAAAAATTTTTAATTATAAATTTATTTTTACAAAAATTAAAAAGCTTATTGCCCAAATTTCATAAAAAAAGAAACAGTTTGGGAATGTGAATTTTCACCCCAAAAATTAAACCTTTTTTCTTTTATTTTTAAGTGGTTTTCAAAAAATTTTTTTCAAAATATAAATCATTTTTTAATGATATTTTTTGTTATGTTTTTTTAAATTGGGGAAATTTTTTAAACTTATTAAAGGTTTTAAGTTTGATGGGGGAAATTTTCTGGGATAGAAACATGGTTTCAAATGATCTTATATGTTATCGTATTATTTAATCACATAAACTAGGTAACATTTTTTAACAAAGCAATCTTGAATTAATTTCTTATTCTTTTTTTTCTCTCTAGTATCATTAATACATTCAATGCCGCTTACGTATTGTAAACAGAAATATCAGGGGTCCAAATACCGGATACCGGCATATAAACCTCTCTAACTCCGCCATAATCTTTTGGATTCCATGCCAGTCTGTCATCCGTCCAGTACTATAATATATCAAAATTGTCAAAAACTAATCTAATGAAATTATAATCATTATTCTCTCTTCTTTGAGACATAAAAACAAATTATTGACATTTGTTTTTTTGTTTTTGTTTTTTTCAAATACATCAATCAGAAAGCGTTATTCTATGAAACTAACATGCACATGTTCAATTTTATAAAATTTGTCAAAAACTAATCTAATGAAACTAATAAAACGTTATGTCTTCCTTTAGACACAGGTACTACCTGATATTTATTACAAAAATTCAAATACCTTAATCTTAAAGTATTGTACTGTGACTACCAGGCAGACTTCGTTTCATTTAATTGCAGTTGATCATGAATACTATTACACAAAGCCGCTTTATTTTATTATATCTAAAAAACAAATTATCTAAGAGCATTTTGCCGAGAGAGACACTTAAATTACTATCTTGATTAGTGCATGGAGAGGTAAAATTTCATTGTGAAGTTATTTTATCACTTTTCTTCAAGTGATTGTGAATAAATTAGAATTCTTTGAATCACAATAGTATCTTCAAGAAAGAAAAAAATGTTATTCAAGTCTGAAATACCAATTTCCATTTTAAAGACCCATGTTTGGCATCCTGTTAAAGTTTCAAACAGGTTTCCTAATGGCCAATTAACTTAACCATCTTTTGCCTTTTAGCAATTAGTAAACTTATAGTGATTTAGTATTTTGTATGGACGTCAAAATACTACTTTGTTTACATTTTGCTAATAATAATTCTACATTCGTCGCTACTTTCTTTAGATAGAAAGAATGTAACATGCTCTCAAATCATTACTAAAATGTTACTGGTATAAAACTGATGTATGCCCTTTCTAAAGAAGGAAAAGAATTATTCATTTCTGAGGCATAATGTGTCTTCAAATAATTCTGTGTTTTTATGTATTTCATGTTTATTACTCGGCAGTCTGAGTTGAATTTAATTTCACAATTTTTTTTATATTTTATGACCACATGGAGACATTTTGTCTTCAGATTTCATAGTGTTTACCATACGGTCGACCTTAGAAATAACCATATAGTTTTTCAGATGGAAATTAGAAGCTGTGAATAAATTTGAATCCGCTGCCATGGATACACATATCAAGGATTATTTTCGTTTGAATGAATTCTCATATTCAGATATTTACCAATGATAAACTGATCGTTGATGACAATTCTTCTTTATGTGCATCCTGAAATAAATTAGTTCTTTTATAAAATTTAATGCTATATGGTTCCATTATTTGTGATAAATAAAAGAAGATTAAGTAATTGTCTGTAAACTTTAAGATGGAGTTGACTATGCAAATTCATTAATTTAAAGCAATTGCAAGTAAAAGACACATGTAAAATGGAAAAAAAATTGTTTTTATCTTCTACTTGTTATAGATATAAAACTTAACATGTTCGATTAAGTCGTTTAATTTGAAATTGATATACCACGCAATATAGACAATAAGTTGTACAAATCTTACGAGTACTTGACAACTGACTTGCATAACAGATATGTCTTTTTAACGAGAGATTGAAATAAAATAGAAACACTGTTTTTGAGAATCAAAATATATATCAAAAGAAAATTAAGAAACTAATTAAAGCGCTGTGCGAATAAAGAATTATTTTACAGGTGCCCGTGAAAATGGCAATCTGTTTCGTGTTTGTTCAAACATAAGTCCATTGATTCCGTTTATATATGCCATGTTGAGTTTCGATATTTTCTATATAGTTTACTGGAAGTGGTAAAAGAGCTTGTAAATTAAGATTTATATATTTATAGTATTCATTTATTATACCTGTGTATATTTTCCGTCAATCGAAAGCACTTTCAGTAATAATCGTATCTATTTCAATCACACAGACCAGACGTATATATTATAAGTTATAAAGATGTTTGTGTTTGTAAACTTTAACTGATCACATATTGTTTACCAAAAATGACATATCTACATTTATCAAGGAAAAGAGCATAAAATATTAAATTTAAGTGGCAACAATGAAAGAGGACAATCAATTTCAACTTCAGAACATGAGGTGACTGTGGTTTCTGTATAGCGTGTATATAAAAACTAGTAATAAACTAATAATAATGATATTTTGTGACACGGTGTCAGGTTTTATTCACTGTGTCCGATTTCAGTTTGTCATTTATACCCCTTATTTTCTGTCAGAGCCAAATGGTTTAATATATTGTTTAACTTTAAACTGTTTCATTGATTCTAGCTTTAGTATTTTTTTGCATATTTAATTGATCTGCAATATCGTTTTCAGAACAAACAATAAAATATTAAATTACCATAGAAAGAATAAACGCATGAATATTGATCTATAAATTGTGATATTTAGAACCATGTTAATATTTAATGTATCGCATGGCACCATGCTTGACAAACATGGTAAAAGCTAATTAGACGATTACATGGACAGCAATGTATTTCATTGAAATATTGAGTTTTTCGGTCCGTTCTGGCGCTCAAGCCTTCATAGAATTGTTGTTAATGCCTTATATTTACGTCACTGCAAAACTTATGTCAGCAAGTATTTTACTTAATGAGTCATTATGACAAGAAGTCAAAGAACGAAATAAATGTGAATATCAAAAGTGTGTGGTAGAAAATTACATGAATAATTCTGTAAAACGAAAATTTGTGTGGACTTCTTGTAAAAATGCAAAATGTAGGTTCATTTTGATAAGATTTCTCAACATGTATCTTTTTTTCAGTTAGATGAGGGCAGAAGCAATTAAGTTTACAAACAAACATCACACAAATCTAAAACAAATGTCAAAATAAAAGTATTATATCATTGTTTAAACTATAAGTACATGTATTACTGTGTAATGAACATTACTACAATAGTACGTACATGTATAAAGAAAAACTATACAATGAATTGAGAAATGAGATTGCAGCTATTTTTAGACCATATGTTGTTACATACTTTTCTTAGCGTTAAGTGTTTCCTGATTTTTAAAGGAGGGGTTATTGTTTACATATTAGATTTTTTCAAAGTCAACATATTATAATTAAATCTGTCTAACAGTATCATAATCACGAGATCATAATCACGAGTGTTATTGTAATGCAATGCATGATGAAATTTATTTTGAATCCAGTCAAATGGATGGAAAAGAAACGCTATGAAAATATAGTTATACGTACTAAATCGTCTATTCGAACTATCGCCGGATAAACTTTAACGGCAACATAAGAATTGGTCTTCCTCGTCGGTAACACATGTTTCCTGTATCCTTTCTGTAGGTCATCAAGTAAATGACTGATGTCTTGATATTGAGCTGTGACTGAAACAAAAATACATTAAATCTTTAACTCATATTTTACATTGTCTGAAATGTGTACAATGTATACAATTATGGCATTTGCTATTATGATGTAATCAAGGAGACAAGTGGAAGACTGGGGGATTGTTAAACACGAAATAAGTATTCCTGCAACCATCTTGACTGGAGGGATAATTCATTAATTCATAACTCATTGTAAAAAGACTCAATTGTTGACAAAATAACATCTAGGAAGTTTGTATAATAATAATGATATAAATAATAACAATAATCATAATAATGATAATAATAATACTCTTTTCCTTTATTTGAATTTATCGATATCGGATTAATATCTTGTTTAGATTTTTATATAAAGAACATGCAGATGACCAGTCTTGTACATGTATATAATAATATAACTGTTATATAAGATATTTATTATGTCGTTAGTAATGAAATGAACATATTTTCAAATGTGCTTTTATTGTTTTATTGAGACTGGTCAATACATTGTAATTTACTTCTAATAATGTTTATCCAATTTACTGTATTACAGAAAGTTACTAATATATAAAATAAACAAAATATCTTCAAGTATTTACACGCTTTATCATTCAAAATGTTTACATTTTAAAACACTTACCAAATTGTATATATAAAATCCCTATACATGTTAAACTTCCTTTCAAAAACATCTCTGTAACTTTAGATGAACCTCACAGTTGAATAACTTATTGTAAAGTGTCACATACTGGAGTTTATTTTCCTTTATAACTTTACATGTAGCGCGTAATAATACAATCTTTATTGTAAAGAATGATATCTTCGGGTAAATTAGTTAACCGATAAAAAACAAGGTTTTACTCCAACATTAAAAAAAGATGTTACTAAACGGATGTCCACTCAAGCTTTACTTTTATATCAACTGCTTTTAAAACATTCGTAATTGTATATTTTAATGTAAAACAACATTGATTTTACCGATAAAAGAAAAGTTTTCTCTCGTGTATTTTATTATCGTTATTAACACTATTATACTCGCTGCAAGATTTAATGGAAAATTGTTGAAAATTGTTCAATGTCATACAAAGTCATTTTCTGTTATTATAAAGCTCACTGATAGAAGCTGTTTTATATTAAATAGGTGACAGTGTGCTAGAGCCGATGTAAAATTGATAACAATTTCTAATGATGAATACGTGCTGATTTAATTGATTATTGACATGTCTTTTAATCCTTTCACGCTCGTGATTAGTTGATGGATAAAGTGCACGATCTATATTATGATCAAAATAATTATCGCTATTTTTTTTACTATAATTCCAAACTTTAAAAATATACATTCACGTAGCTTAGTAATAAAGTAATTAATTTGCCCGGAGACGTGTTTTAGTTTTTTAAACAATTTGCAAAACGTACGCGTGTGGACGTTTTGCGTCGCATATCGTACTCATGTGGACGTTTTGCGGTGCATATCGTACTTGGCGGCGAGAGTGTGTCTTTGCGACGCATATTGTCCATATTTTCTGCATTAAAATATATTCATTATAAACGTTACTTTTATTGGTTCTATCACTTTCATACTGTTTAGGTAAAGATATGACGAAATAAACATTAAAGTGCAATATTTTTGTGATCCTATATAATTCTGACATTTTTATTAAAAAAAAAAGAAATATGCTTAAGCCGAGGATGTTTTTCGAATAGATTTTTTTATGGAATGGAACCAAGCAGCAGTAGCAGCAGCAATAGCAGCAGAGATATAAAAACGATGATATTGAAATAAGTGTAGTCTGATCAGGATCCATGCTGTTCGCTATCAGTTTCCCTACTTGTAATAGATTTGGTAAGCGAACAGCATTATGTTGGTTTTGTCATGACGCGGCTCATATGGCACTTTGCATGATACAGCCATCGTAAGCTTTATTTGTTTGTTCATGGTTTTTCAAGCATTCCAGTTTCCATCGCTTATTCCGTCATCAAATAAATCCAGAACTTATATACATTTGATTTGCAACAAAACACAGGAATAAAGCAGATGTGATTTAACATAATATGCAGCTTAATTAAACAACAACGTTTCTCACGAAGTTGTGTCACGTACAAACTAGCGTTCCTGTTAAAATTGATAACTTACCTGTACGGTCATGTTTCTTTAATATTATATTTAATACCCTTATGTGCAAGGCTATGAAAATTCTGATTAATCAAATAACTTCGTGATTTTTTTATTGACTTTTCATGTCTTCGATGAAATGAATTCTTTTCATTAAGTTGTTCTAAAGAATTTATTGACACAATCCTCCGACAATGCAAACAGTGATAATATAGTATACAGTATATTATTTTAATAAAAATTTGATATTATTATGATATAATCAAATTTAAATTACATTCACATGAAATTAAAGTTAATCAAACAGGTTTCGACATTGACGTGTGAACTATTGCCATTACTATGTGTATATGTTGAGAAATACATGCAAATTAAATAAATATATTGGAATGAAAGTATACAAGAAAATAAATCACTCTGAGTAAATGACATATTAAAGATCCTGTAACACATTTTTTATGGTTTTACATAAAAAATATGATGTTCAAATTAAGATTCATTTATATTGTAAGTTTCAAAAAGCATTATTTATAAAGATAATACCGAATTTAATATTTCATGAAAATAAAGGGAGGTAATTAGAAATTTGTTTTCTATAGATTCTAAGTCAAATTTTCCAATAAGAAATGAATGCATATAATTTAGTGATTAAATTAATTAAATTAAATTAAATTAATGTACAAATATTTGCAGTACATATTTTACATATTTTTCAATGTTTGAAAATTGTTGTATTAGCATAATTATAATGTATATAGGTTCACGCAAGTGTGGTATACAACCACAATTACAAAACATACAGGATCTTTAAAGGGAGACACAGGCAAAATTTTCATTTTCTTACTTTTGAATTTTTCATTTATTATTCTGCAAATGCCCACAAAATGAATATATTAGACAGTCAAAGGAACAAAACTTTTCGCCATATAAAGAATAAAATGGTGGTTTCCTAACTTGACCCGCGTGCGTCAGGTTAGAGCGCTAGCATTTCACAATAGTTGTCAAAGTGAACTCTGGACAAATGAATGACTTAGGCTTGTTTCAATCATACAATATCCACAATATCTGTTATTGTAACTTCAAGGATTTGTTCAAGTCACCTGACTTTTTTAAAACTATTTGTTGATTCGATTGGCGTCTAAATTTTGTTCAGCATATATAGATATATTTACGCTTAAAACCCAAAATATATGGAATTTAAACAGAAATTCAAGCTGAAACTTCATGAAAAGTCATTTTAGCGTGATTGAGTACATAAGATCATTTTAATATTTTTGTAATTATTTTCCCTTTAAGAATAAGTGGCATTACCAAATGTTTGTACATGTAGCAATTCGACGGGAACGAAATATCTTATACGAAAACAGCCTGTATTCAATGTAAATACAATTTCCCTTAAACTATAAATGATATAAATGGAGTAACACTAAAGTGGAAGTACGATATAGTAAATCACAACCACAGCAAATGAAACTAATAAAGAAATCAGGAATAGTAGCAATTTTTACACGACTCGGATTTTCCCTATTGAACATATTAAGACCGAAAGTGTGTGTTATTTAAGAAATAATAGATCCCAAACTGTGATTTTATCGCTCAATCAGTGACGTAGCCTACACTTTTTCTTCAGAAATGAAACATTAAATGATTACAAAAATGCAATAAAAATTTAAGAGTAAAGGCGGTAGATGTATTAGAGAATGACCTGACACCTTATTTGAAAATATATCGAGTTTTATTTCATAACGAAAGTGTTGCCGTGTTAAAAAGTTGTTCTGTGGTAAAACCTAGAGCGATGTCGGGTATATTGGGACATCTAATGCATATTTGTTACAGTGATTTTAAATATTCTTGTTTCAGTATTGGCATTAGATACTTAGGATAAGCTCTGTATGACTATCGTCTATAATGGGTCACTATCATAAGCATATGCAAAATAAACGTGACATACCTTGTTAAACAGAAGAGCATGAGGAGTCAGTTTTGGGACACGTGGGGTATTTATGGACAGAAAGAAGGGCATTTTTTGTACAGGCACTAGGTTGAAGCCAGCAGAAAAGAGGATGATTGATTTTCATTTCCAATTGAAAAACTTAATGGAATTATACTTCTAAACGTTATAATGAGAAGCGGTCCAAAATACCCGATGGTTCACATATACCCTACAACGCTCTATCAGAGACGGATGAAGTTTTTGACAATATAAAAGTGTTTTAGTGTTTAGATTCAAAATATAAATATTGCAAGTGTGCACGACAATGATCGGCCATATCCAGATATCGGTAGTGCTAGCTTTATACAACTGATGAGGAAGCTAAGCGATATCTTTTGAATGAAGCCATGACATCTTGTCTTTTATATTCTCTTCCGTTCTTAAGGTATTCGTGATTTAATTATGTGTACGTTATTCTGTCCGTCAAAATTTTGAGCACAAAACACAAAGTAGAATTGAAACCAAGCAAGTTCATGAAGTCGATTTGAAATAAACGTGAAACATAATCTTTGTTATTATATACATTTTCTAAAATGTATTTTTATAATTATAATATATACAAGTAATGTGTTCGAATACATAACAAAATCTGCATTAATTAGCATAGTGGTGGAGAGTTTGCTTTTAAAACTAGGGATTCAATTCCTTTTTTTTACTTTAAACTAAGTTGAAACTTTATTTGTTAATTAAATTGCACATAAAGTAACATTTACAAACATTTCACAACAATGTAATTCAGACAAGTAAAACATTACCCCTCCAGCTAAAGTAGATACAAAAATGTTGCGGATAGATGTAAGCTCTTTGAAGGTACAACGAAAAATTAGAGAATTATTGATTGTTGAATTATCAGTATAGAGAGACTTAGGTAACTTATGGAGAAATATAAAAAGAAAAGAAGAATGTTAGGAAAAACATGATTGAAAATATCTGAACTTTTAGTTCTTAAAATAAACATGTAAATGAATATGAGCGTTCTAACATGCGAAGTTCATTCACAATGATAGTAATTCTTACAATTGTGAACATTCTGAAACTACTTCGCGCGAAATAGTTCATTCAAATTACAAAAATGTTTGATAATAAAAGTTGTTCGGAATTCTTTTTCTTACATTACTGTAGGTAACGTAGTTATTGAATTACTTGAGATGTAAATTTGATTTGTCTTTATTTTCTTTATATGTTTGACTTCACGTAAACAGTCTATTCTATGTTCTATAATTATATGTTTCACCATAAACAATAAAAAGAAACTTTCATTTATAATTTATAGGAGCATAAAATCTTATTGAGAAAATGTATTCGACGCTGTTTGTGTGACATTAGATATTTCATCATCATCATTGGTATTTTAATACCGATTGTCCGGTGTAGCAAGGTATTATTAGGGGTGCTTGTTGATGTTTGTTTTTATTATTTTCTAATTATATATTTAGACAACCTTGTTTTGAATTTTAAATTTTGATGTTTGCTTCAAAATTTGCATAAATTTGTTCTTTTTAGATTCATATATCATAACCCCATGGCAAAGTTATACACGGAAAAACGCTCTTTTTGCCAAAATGTCAAAGTAGCTTTGCGTTGAGTTAGTGATAGAGTTAAGTATGGTCATCTTAATTGAAAAAAAAAAAGTTATGAATTCTCTTCCTTCAGAACATGCCTTAACATACCCCAGAATGCAGCTATGGCAGTGTAGATTTTTAAAAATTTTCGGGGGAGCATGCCCCAAGACCCCCCAACACATGTGCCTACACATTGATTTCTTTCAAGCTACGCCCCTGTCAATAACATCACTGTTTGGAGTTCGGATTCGGGGAATTATATCACGAGGGCGTAGCCCGAGTGATATAATGATGCGCATCCGAACGACAAAAAGTGATGTTATCCAGCGATAAAATCACCGATTTGGATATAGTATTTCGATTCTAACACGACATAAATAAATAAATGCTGCTGT